ATCCCGTAACTGATAAATATTACAATAACTTTAAAGGAGTATACTAAATTTGCATGTACTGATTAATTATATTATTACAATTATACTGATTATAATTATAAAATATTATTAAACAAAAAAGCCGAAGTACAGTAATCATTAGAAATCTTAAGTTAATTAAACACTGTTTTTCTTTAACGATTTAGAAATTTGTTTACTTTTTAGAGTAATTAATCCATGGTCACGCAATGAATCATTATTTGTGCTCAAATGGCCTTTGATGCACAAGGCTTCCACTGCAACCTAACCAAACCAGACAGTAAATGTGAAGAAGAGTATGTGTTCCAGTAATCTAGCCTTTCCAATAGAACTTTATATTACAAAATCTTATAAAAAAATTTGTTTCTATAATCATTAATTACCATAATATATACAGAAGAAAAACATTTTTTTCTGATCGAATTAAACACATAAAATAATCATAGTTATATCCAACTGAATACACATCCCTGTTTTTATACATAAATATATTAATAACTTCTCTTGTGGATGGATTATATCTCACGATACTTGCCGGTTAAAAAGTATTGAAGTGAAGCATAGCGTTAGAGATTAATCCAAACAGAAGTCTTCTTAATCTTATAACATGGACAGCATAAAATAATCTTCGCTACAATCATTGATCCTTATCTTCATTTCATATATAAACAAAAACTTCTGTTGTAGATGAGTTATATTGCACGACAATTATCAGTATTGAATTAAAGAATAACATGAATAGATTAATAAAAACAGGTGTCATCTTAAACTGTTAAAATGGTCAGATTATTTTATATAATCTTCCCTCCATTCATCAGCTATGTCTTTGAATTATGAATTTAAAAAAAACTTCTGCTGTGGATAAATTATATCTCACGATAAAATAGTAAGCATAACAAAAGTAATAATGTTAAATATGGTAACATTTATATAATAGTCAAAACAGAAGACTTCTTCTTCTTATGATAAAATAAAGACCATAATATAAACTTCCCTATATTTATCCAACTTATTTGAAGAACAATATCTCACAACAATAACCAGAAGAGAAGTAATGAACTAAATAATAACATACATAGACTATATATCATGAATAAACAGATTGAAGACTTTTGTATGGACAGATTTGTATCTCATTGGGATTCTTGGTACACGAAACAGAAAGATAGTATGGGAATGACGAATTGGATAACTAATGACAGACTTGGCACTATAAAACCATTTTTGGTGTATCTATCGATACTTGTATTCGTAGTATGAGCACATCAACAATTTCTGCATTATGTACCTTTTATCTCTTGCCGACTACAAAGAAATAAGAGAAATTTAATAAATATTACACAATAGCATATATGCCAACTAAATAGTTTGATATTTTGATCAACATTTCCGCTACCGTTTGTAACTATTTTCTTAGAGATAAGAAAATAAAATCAAGTCTAAATTTTTTTCATAATAAACACGCAGTCAAATGGACATAGCCAGAGATAGGTACAAAGAGTAGCCACAAGGTAAAGTCAAGTGACTGTAAAGGTGCAACAAACAGAAATAAAACTAATTTCCATACAAATTCCATGAAAATTTCAATTGCAATAAAATGAAGTTAAAAGACAACATTTCAAATTTTTACTGAGACCAAAAAGATATAAGTGCTCCGCAACAAGTTCACAGCAGGAGGTCAAATGTGATTGTGCACTTTGTTTTATTATTTGAAAGCAAAAGGAAAAAAAATAAGGAAAACACTTCAGAGATTAGAAATTCTAGAACAACCAACGAAGTGTGGAAAAAATTACACGCCTATTGACGACACTACAGAAGGGTGAGTTCAGAAGTGTAAAAATGTTTGGTTTCAAGAATTGGTTTATGGTTAGTTATATAGGTGAAAAAACATTAAAAACAGTTTCCCTTTTCATATACCTATATATAATTTAGTAAGTAAAAAGTTTTAAAAGATAAAATAAACAAAAGAATCTTAACATCATAATTAATTGTACATAGAAATTATCACATTTCGTATGAATTTTCATGCTTTACTAAATTTAATTTATATTAATTACAAAACAAACCTCTTTGCTCCACTCAAGCAAGTAATCAATGCTTACGCAAGTAGTCAAGCAAAAAACTAGCTGGAACCACAAAAAATAATGTGAAAAATATAAAAAGAATAATTTTACAAAAATCACACACAAAAAAAGTAAAGAATACAATTGGCGAATAAAAGTGCCGTAATATTTCATTTTCAATTTTTTAACAAAATTTCTGTTCAAACCTTTTTAATGTAAAAATATAAATAACTTTCTTGTGTTCTTGATAAAAATTTAATCTTCCTGAGCAGTAAATAGTCGTATATATAAATAGATTAAGATTAAAAATTATAAACATAGTTGAAAATACTAATCAAATCTAATTTAAAGAATTATAGACGGTAAGAACAAGGTATATTTTTTGAAGAAAATTTAAAACTTGAGCCCTATGTCAGGATACAACAATGACGATAAAGAACAATATATTATTATTAACACTACGTCACAAAACTATAATATAATGACAATCAAGAACAATGCATTACTACCGAGGGAAATTTAATTTTTACCAAGGATATTTTTGTTTCTTTTATATTTATGTCTTTTATGTTTCTTGTTTTTATTTTTATGTTTTTTCTCACACCTTTCCATTTTTCTTACTTTTTCCAAACAATTATGTTATACCACAATATCTTTCTTGTTTCTCTGCTATAGGTATATTTCTGGGTTGCCTTTTGTAGCAATTTCTATAACATATCTTGGCAAGCATAGATAAACTCAAAAGGAAAGTATAACAATAATAACATCAGTTTATTCATGGGAGAGGTTGGCATATAATAAAAACTTAACAATAAAGCAAGACATTCCCATTATCGCAGTAAAACTTTACCATAAATAACCTGTAGGAATTTGCAATAATATGCACTTTTTATTATTCTGCAGTAATCAGTTATTGAAATACAACATTGTTCTTATAAACCGGTTAATAATTGCACTTGTTTTCAAAAAAACTGTTTTGTTTTCTAGTTGTAATGGTTGTTGTGATAACCTACAGTGATCTATATAGCAGATAATATGAAAGGAATTACAAATATTTACACATGGGTTAAAATATGTGTAGGTACGAAAGTATCCTAGGTGTTACTAATTGGTTCAATGAGAAAATAAATAGAAGAGTTAAATCAATAATTTACAGATATATTGTTGTTTTTTTAACTAAGGTAGTCAGTCCTCGCGAAAAACCTATACAATAAGTAATTCAAAAACTCGAGAAAAGCAAAACAATATATATAATAATATTGTTATAATCTTAAATCTAGGTTAAGAACTGAATAAAACCAAATTCTTCAGACACACTATAAAGACTTCTGCGTTATCAATAGAACAGGAATAGAAATGGTGTTTGGTGCGATAATTTTGATTAAAAGATAACAACAGTTTTGATGCAGTGAGACAACACCTATCTTATGTAGTAGTACCAATATCGTTCAGATAACAGATAGTAACATAACTAATAATTCCAATTAATATAACTAATTCTTTTTTAAACTTAAATTTATATATTTATATATTATTTATAAACAGAACGTTGAAATGGAAAGTACTTTAAACACTGAATCGCGTTTCATTAAGCCAAGAAGAATGTATATATATAAATCCATATTCAAATCTGGATTTATATATATAATTTTTAACTTTGGGATAAAGCAGTCTGACAGATCTTTTGATGACATCCCACTTCGTTAAAAAGAAAGCAATGCAGTCTAAAGCTCGATGTAAACCATAAAGTCAAATAATATTGATTCATTGAAAATAGAGTTTTTAGAAATTAATATGACTCCTTTTTTAATTATTAAAATAATTTAATTTAAATTTGAAAGGAGTTTAAAAATAAAATTCAAACAAATATTCTATATAAATCTAAAGAACTTTTATTAGTGGAATTTTTAATATGTATTGTATTTGAATGATATTTAAGTTTCCAAAACTCCTAAGCTATCCTTTTCACACGTTGATATTAACTTATAAGGCAACTCCTTTAAGTATTGCCACATCGCTGTAGTTACTTTGTGGTGATGTTTGCATAGATAAGGGTACCATAGATCAGTAGGTCGTAATGCAAATTTTGCAAACATAATAATAATGAAAAGATAATAGGATATTTAAATTTTGTAGGCATAACACAGATATAATCCTTCTTATTAGAGGAGGCAACCCTGTTTCCGTGCTCCAGTTTTTAAAGCAAAGCTTGCGTTCAATAAAACTCTCCTACATATTGTTTAAATAAATTTCACACATAATTAAAGTTTTACTATTTGTTAACATATTATTAAGATACTAATTCTATTAAATCTACTCTATATTTCTAAACAAAAAAAAAAAAATTATACATTTTAGTTATATACGATTGTTTGTAATTAAATTGTTTTTTTTTTTTGCCTTATATGTACCAATATACATTTATACATTTACAATACATTTAGTATGAGTCCCCAGTCATCTCCAGTAATGACGTAATACTAAACAAAAAAATCTTACAAATAACTTAACGCAGTTCCCCAAATTATTTAGTGAACGGCCTTGAATTGTTAATTATTTAATTATTACTGTACTCAGTTCAAGTGGCCAATAATTAATTTAAATAACATCTTTGTGTGTGGTATATATTATAACCCTATTGAACACCCAACATATTTATTTTAAATTTTGCAAAACTCATCATTTATTTCTCAAAAATACAATAGAAAAAAATAACTAGAATTTTTTGCGATTTATCTACTCTTCCACTTCATTTCTAAACAAACTTTGCTTTCACATATACCAATACAACAATTGTACAGGGTGTGACCAACAACAAGTTGTAGTTGTCCTGCTGCATGCGCAGGTAGTAAAGTTTCCCTCTTATTTTATTTTATTTACATTTCAATACACTTTTTTTATTATTTATTTACTGCTTACCAATTCCAAAGACTTGTTTGGTATTGCAATCGCTCCACGCCGTCATTGTTTTTAGTTTGTTTTTGTTGTACTGCTAGCAATTTTACTTTTCAATGAATTTAAGAATAATAATATAAAAATAAATTCATTTAATCCAATTTTTTATTTACAAAAAACTCATTTTTTATATTCACATAAACAAAAATATTTAAAAAAAATAAAACGAATACACATAATTCACATTTAAAAATAAACACAAATAAATATTTTAGAATTATTTATGAAAAACTTCACAATTATTCATTCACATATTTTTCCGTTTAATTTGCTTTTATCTTGATTTTGGGAGTTGCCGCACAACGCATAATTAAATTCACTTTTTTAAAATTTCTTCTCTTTCACTTCGGTTTCCAATAGTTAATTGACCAACTAATTCAACATCTCGTTATAGCCGCGCACATTCGCTCTACACGCCAGCATATTATCGTCTGTTGAATGTGTCGGTTTATCGTGTTTATTTTCATACAATTTCGTTTCATAATCTTCGTTCTTCTTTCAAATGCTTTCCGCTTTTTCATACTGGTAACACTTTTGATGATGCCACATTTATCGAAGATTTTTAACAATGAAAAATTAATTGGAAATAAATTCATATTTTAAATTAAATTTATTTAAATCAAGTTTGATGTATGTTAGGACTGTCCACAGCAGAGCTCGCGACATGTTTTTAATTTACTACAATTAAGCAAATTTTCTTTTAGTGTACTCGTAAAGCTACATTATTTTATTTTTATGGTATACCAAATAAATGAATTTATATTGATAAAATAATAAAACTAAATTTAACATTATAACCGTATTTTTATTTTTGAATAAATATACTATGAACGTTTGTATTTATTTCTGCGGCCCCCCGATCAAAACAGTGATCTATACAGGCGCGCGATTGCATCTGATTTGAATAGTCCTGATGTATATGATTAAATCAATATAAAATTCAATTAATTAAACATAATTTTGTTGTTTAATATACAACTATCATATATTATATATCATTATATATAATTATTTATTTATAAAAGTATTTGACTATAAAGATGAAAATTGTGGTTTTCTAAAAGAGTTTATTTTTTATTAATCGTAATATATATAAATATAACTAAAATTATTAAATTAAAAAGATTTATGAAGTTATGTGTTATGTTATTTAAAAAAAAATTATTTCCTATGCTTAAATTTGACGGTAATATTGGGTATTAATATTTAAAATTTAAAATCAAACGTGATAAAAAAGTATATTTCAAATAGAAAGACCACTAATGATCATTATTTGGCTATAAAAAAAACCATTTAATGGTTTACAAAAGAAAATTGTTTTAATTGTATATCTGTGTAACAAAAAAAATTTTATACCTCAATGTAACATTACATTTATTTGTAGCAAAAAATGCTATTATTTTCCAATAATCCGATAATTGTGTTAATATGGTATAATATGATGCTCATCTAAACATTCTAAGTTGAAAGTAGAATTTCAGTTATTAATTTGGGCTTGCTCATCTTGATCTGCTACAACACTGTCTAGAGCATCATTTGGATTGCCTCGATTTTATAACGGAATAATTTGCTCAGAATATTTAACAATTCCAAATAAAAAATAGAGGTAGCGATCTATTAATTGAACACTACATTTTCTCCACGATACGATCTATTTACTGGTAAACTATTAACTTTGGCAACCTACTCGCTTAATGCAATTTTTATTTTTAGATTCGTACTAATCTAATTTAATTTTAATGATCCTAATATCTAACAAAAATTTCGACACAATTCAATCTTAACGCTCCAACGCTACAAAAATTTTAGAAACACCTCCTAAGTTGCTGTCAATAATGGAAAAAGGGAAATTACTTCCCAAACTTTGAATTTGGTTTAAAAAAAATCATAATACATATGAACTTATTGATCTACAGATTTATGTAGTACATTCACGTTACATTAGAATAAAATAATATTACACATCATACTTGCTGTCTTACAAGCAAGTGATCGCAATGGATAAATTCTTATTAAATTCAATATATAACAAAGAAAAGATAGACAATACCTGAACATGCACTTTCACATACAATTGACTTAAAAAACACATAAATTCTTAAAACGTAAGACTCTGAACATAAACAATATGATTGTAACAGGTTTGAACATACAAGTGAGGTACTGCTTTAGGTCAGTTGGCTAATGAAAACTGACTCTAAGCTTCAAATTTGGCAGGGTACGATTTCAACCTTTGGTACTTGTAATCTCATAAAATTAATAACATATTAAAATATAAGAAATAATTTTAAACCATCTGCAAGGATCTCAATGAAAACATCACGTTACAAGCAGTTCAAATAATATAAACAATCACATTCAGTACAAGAAATCAAAAACTTTTCTGAATTGAGAAATCGAAAGCTCCAAAGCACCCTCATCCACTAATATTGAAACTACCATCCTAATGAAACATACTGCCTCGTTATAAGAAAAATTCAACAATAAAAAAATTCTTAATTAATTATTTTTTTATATTGAAATAATAAATATATGTATGTATTGCTATTCTATAACAATTATTCTATTTATTCTATAAAAGTTGAATTAAAAAAAACTAAATTTTAAAACAAAATAAATTAAGGAGGTATAGAAAAATTAAAAAAATATTTTTGTTTTGATACACTTTTAAATCTATATTTATATATTTATTATTATTATTTTTTATATGATTTTTGCATACAAAGTTGTTGTAGTGAATTAAAAATGTTTATTTTTGTTTAGTCTCTTGGTCAGTTACGTATCGCACATATATGACAGGATTGGAGACATTTGCAGGTGGTTCTTCGAATTCGTCCATATAAGAGCAAGCTATGGCAAGCGTGCTACCATCATGACTGAAATTAAGTGATGAAATGGAAGAGTCATACTGATGAAATTGACATAAACGCTTTTTGTTAAAACCATCCCAAATATTAACCAAACAGTCAGATCCGCCAGTTGCGAATGTATTATAAACATTATGAAAACTAATTGCATTTACAGGATAAATATGTTCAATACTATCTTCCTTATTTCGATGACACTTAAAAGCAAATTTCTTTTTTTGTACTTCTGGATCTGGATCAAGAAATTCAACTGCAACACGTCCCTCTATCGATGACATGACATAACCTTCTTTATTAGGAAACAAACGTATGCAACGGGTTTGGTATTTTAAAGACGATTCACGTTTCATCATATACTCTTCCATTTTACGTAAATCCCATATAAGTACTTTACGATCCGATGTGGCAACAACAATTTTTTCATCTTTCACCGACATTGAGTATACCTTGCCATTACTTTGCTCATATGTGCCGACACAACGCTTTTCTCGCATATCCCATAATTTAATTGTTTTATCCCAACTGCCCGTGAGTATACCATTGACTGATTCAGCATATTCAACGAAACGTACCGCTTCATCATGTGTTCCAACTAAAGTCTCAGTACGCGTATTAACATCATATAACTTTAATTTGTTATCCAATGACCCACTCACTACATGAACAACGTCCTAAGAAAAAGAAAATTAAATTTATGTGTAAAATAATATAATTCAAGTTACCATAAATGTTGCGTCAAGCACTGGCACATCTTGTGAGAATTTTTGTCTCATGACATTATTAACTACATCATAAAATCTGATGGTTCCATCCCATGATGCAGATATTAAATACTGATTCGTTTTTGGTCCAAATTTTACTGAAGATATAACATCTTCTGGTGGATTAGTTAATTTTACTTCTGTTGGACGCATTTCGCATCAGTTGTTTCTATTTTTTACTCTACAAACACAGCGTTTCTTCTAAAATCAGAAAAAAATCAAACAATTCTACCCGCTAAATATATGTCAAAGTTATCGTTGCCACCTGTGCAGTTTTATAAAAAAAATTTCTGAAAAATGAATTAATGTATTCTCAAAAACTTCATTTAAATTAATTTATTTTAGTATCCTTAATTAATTTGAAAACTTGGTGGTATAACTTCATTTATATCACTACTTTTAAGATAAAGGTAGAGACATACTTTAGGGAAAAACTTTTTAAAACTACTTTGATTAAAACTATTTTGATTATGTGTTAAGGGTAAAATTAATTACAAGTGGTGAAGGCAATAAACATAACAATAAAAGTCTATAAACATAATTTTTAGTTATTTGCATATCAAATAAAACTTTTATTACATATATTGACATTAAAAATATGGTATATCTCTAACATGTTCACTATAAAAACAATGTAAGAATATGTTTTTTTTATGATTAACCTATGAATATATAAATTTAAATATATATTAACGTTTTACATAGGTATATAAATAAAAATATATGAAAAGTACCAAAATATTTATTTTTTATATGTTATATGAATAATCTATACTTACAGTTGCAGTAAATCCAATATATCGAATTATTCACATAAAGTTTAATTTTTAAATAAATCAGTTTATTAATTTCAAGGTTTTTTTTACAATTCGTTACAATTTTATGTAAATGTGCAATGAAATCCATGTATTTGATTTGATTCGCTAACTGATACGAATATTAAATTAGTCGGATGTATTTGTTGGCAATAGCACATAAGCATTTCATCATGAGTTGGAAATTTGTCATCTGAATGAAATATAATCAAACGACACACCGGTACACCAGGATTGCTTTTTCGAAATCCTTTAGGCTCATATAAATCAAAACTGATATTAAATTTCCTGCAAGTGTCAGGGTTCTTAATATTAGTTTTCAATTTAATGATCTCTAATTTTTCAAACACATCTTTAAACTTTTTACGATCCAACAGTTTTTTTATCTCTTCTAAATGGCCCGATGATTTTAACACAGGTGGCTGGCGATTTGGTTGCCAAACACTTTCTGTTTTATAATCAGTATTACAATAAATCCTTTGGGCAAAGTTAATACGCTTTGTGTTACTGCTTTCTGGTAACTCATCATCGTTAAAACCTGATTGACTTTCTCTTATAAGGTTTTGATTTTTAATCATGCCTGATTTCATTTCAGTAAAATATTTTGAAGCACTAATACGATCCGGTATAGGTAGATCGTACAGCTCATTTTTAAGTATCGCCCATATGCAATCTGTTTTAGTTACTGCTTCGCAATCATAACTGCAATTCTTATATTTTTGCACTACAATCCCCTTTCGGGTTAGTGTAGTATATACCATATATTCTGCATACTGAAGTGAAGCTTCTTCACCAATAAACAACAAATATGCTTGTTCTAGTGTAATTGGTAAATTATAATAATCCATTTTCAGACGATCCTACATTTAAAAAATTAAAATATTTAACTTATACATATTTATATTTTGAAGTACTTACAGTTTCCAATAAAAACAACGCTTCATAGTTTTCTAAATACAATGCTTTATTGTACGTATATCCAAATTTGTCCATTTTACCTTTCTGCCGGACAACACGCGCAGCCTTCTTTTCAAAATCCCACACTGCCACCATGTGATCGTTATGGATCAAACGCGGAATTGTTAAAAAATAGAACAATTCCTCTTAATTTACATAAAAGTTCAAATTATGAAGAATGTTATGGAAAACGATTATTAATATAAAATTAAATGAAATAAAACATTAAACAATATGTGATAAATGATTTATAAATTACCATAAAACATGTCTAACTCCTTAACTTCTTCCGGATCATCAGTTTTAAAGCAGCGTTTATCGCCTAAAGTAACACTTTTTACATTTTCCTTAGCGATACAACGACGATAGATTTCGTCATTACTTAAATAATGGATGTTAAAAATTCATATCATATATTTTCGAATATCTTTCGTTACCTTAAAGTGTTACTTGGCGGCACCACTTCAATTTCTTCAGAAGTCACCTCGTATTCCATTATGACTTATGGATACAAAACGCAAATTAATAATTAACTTCGACTTGTTCACAACACTTCAGAATACAAAATGAAATTCCATCAAAAAACTTTTAACGAAAGCCAAAAAATCTATTACAATAACAAATAACGGTAGAATGCCAAAATAGCATATAAATGAGAAAATATCTATTCACATTATTGATTATGGAAATTTTTAGTTAAATTGCGTTCGAAGACCGTGCAAGTTTTAGACAATGAGAGTTATATATAGGACGTGTGCGAGTTAGGCTAAGTTGATGCTAAACCAAATGGGAGATTTTTTGGGATTTTTTGCACTGCACACTTTTAGCCATTTATCAACACGTATCGACACACCACTATATTATCGGCACAACTTAGAATTTCCCTTATTTAGAACGCAACTTAGTCTAACTCGCACACGACCATAATTGCAATAGACGTAAAACGATGACGGGCACTATCAAGTCTGCCATTAATTAGTAGTCTAATATTGATAACTTTTTGTTGTCTCTAGCTTATCAACCAGATGTACCAGATGTAAAGTCTCTTATGTATTTTGATTTTCTTGCGTTCGTTTTTCCCTTGACTACAAAATGGGACTTCCGTATTCATTCTTTATACTTTATAGTTAATTATACTCATTCATATAATAATTAATTTTATGTTTTGCTTTAGTTTGTTGTTTTGGTATACGTTTTTGGTATTATTTTTTTAATAAATTTACAATAATATATTATATTCAATTTTATATATTCTTTCTTCTTTCTTCTGTATCTGTGGTTGCTAATGATTTCTATTCCAGTTTTTGGTAAGTTCCATGAAATGAAAAAGTTGGTGTGTATCCAACAAAATTGCAAGAAAATTGTATTTGTATTGTCTAGGACAATGATGTCTAATCCGTTACTTTTGTTTGTCTATGGATATATTGGTGAGAAAGTTTTTAAAATAAGCAAGGAAAAATAACTCATAAGAATATACCAAAATACCTTCAAAAGAAAAAAATTATATAATACATTACAATTCTTTGAATTAGAATATTTAAATTTGAACGTTCTTAAGCGCTCCAAGACATTTTTGAAATTCTATTTTAAATAACACTCAGTAGTTGTGGTTTCAATTCAAATTAGCATATATTAAATCTGTTCTGCAAGATATTCGTAGTAACTTTGAATAACACTGCGTATGCACACGAGCGTTCCACCAGCAAATTTAAATGAGAGGATCTGAGAAAGCATAACATCCCTGTCGAAATTTAAATATGCTACACAGACTTTACTCGTACATTTAATTTTAAGTTAATTTGTGTTGATGTGTAAATCAGTTGTTTTGATTTGAATTTAACTAGTGTTCTCATCAGACTTTATGCAGAACTGTTCCCGAAAAATCTGTCTAAAGAGCGTAATTTGGCACTTTATTTGTGTTACACTTTCAGTTTGTACTTGTGTTTTACTGGAGTTTTATTATAAGTAGCTAGTGGAACAGACCTAATTATGTATAAGTATGTGGTGAACTTTACTGATCCGGATTAATATGTATGTTATATATTGGTTAAATTTTTAATGTTCACTGTAATATTTGTTTTCAAAATGCAACCCTGTATATCTAAAAATTGGTTTCAAACTTCAACAAATTGTAATAGAATACCTAACTGAACAAAACGTAAAAAAAATATTTTAAGAATTTACGCGCCTTGGTGTATAATCATCTTATTATTAAAGATTGTTTATATTAAAAACAAAATATTCAACCGAAAATGTGGGACCACTTTGAGCAGTGTCCCGTAGAGGATGAAACTTTATCGAATATGTTTTCATCAGCCGGTGTTTTCAAAATTAGCAGCAATGACGCGGTACTGTAGCAAATCATCATAAAATTAATTTTCTAATTAGTATATGTTTACAACAATAGATAATTAAATATCCTGAAGTACAAGCAACAGTTCAAAACAAAAAAATTGCCATAGCCATAGACCAAACAATATTTTTGATTGAAGATGAAAATTTGGCTAAATGTAGTTTGTTGTCATTTAATGCAGATATTAATATTATTAGAACTACAAATTCAGGCAATTTAATAATATGTTGCTTGAGCAATGGAGAAATACATGGCATTTTTATAAAAGGCATACCTTTATTTAGTTTAATCATCGAAGCAGAAGATGTGAATTTAACTGGTAAAACGTTCGCCAATATACAACTGATAAACCAACGCTTTCACATCAGTTGCACAAATGGGAGCATTTATTGGTAAGTATAATACAAATAACAAATGTGAATCATAATAACCGCGATGTCATTTCGTACTTAGCCTTAGCGAAATTGATGAAAAGCCTTTAGAAAATAATATGAATATATCAATGACTGACAATGAAACTGGAACTCCTGATGAAGCTATACTCGACAACGTTACTATGAAACGCATTTTAACTAATCGCAGTCATAAGGATACGTTAACATCTGTTTTAGTTATGGAGCGGAAATTGGGGATAAATGTTGAAAATATATTATGCATTGCTGGTACACAGAATGGAATCCATTTAAAAAATATGCACGAAGACATTATTAGAATACGCATGCCAGAACATTATGGTGGAGTTAAAAATATTTATAATTTGGATAACTTTATGTAAATTCCATTTGCTATTAATGTGAAAAATAGAGTAATGAAGTTTTTTTATTATAGTGTAGTTCTTACTAATTCTGGACATTTGTTAGAATTTTGTCCCATAACGAAGATCATCTGCTTCAATACTAAACAAAATGAGATAAATCTGCTTATTGATGACCTTATTATTATGGAATGTTCAGATAAAAATATTGAATTGTTGGTAGTGACAAAACCGAATAAAGATCAGCGCATGATGAAAATAGTACAATATCCTTGTAAGCTAATTTTAAGAGAACTAAATAATTTGACATTATTATTACTATACTCTATTTATTTGGTTAAGCATTTAAATGTAATAGCGAATTGGATATTCCTGTGTGCTCCTGGCAAGTGAAACAACCTAAAAATTCGATGAACCTATATGTACTCTGTGGCACACAACTAAATTCATCTAATATACCAACAGAAGTAGAAATGAAATTAATTTCTGAAACCGATCCTAGTGACCGATTTAAGAAACTGATTGCAAAAGGACATTTGGAAGAAGCAGAGGTGTGTTGTGAAGCAATATTGTACGATATTTCAAAAGAGATTTTTATATTTTATAAGAGAACTTATGCTTTTGTTGTTGTTAATTATCTATAAAGTAGATAACTAGCAAGGATTTACAAAGATGTATATATGGATTAGGATATGAATAGATAATGGTAGTGTGAGAAAGGAGAGGATTGTTTAGATGTAAACCGGGATTGTAGAGGCGAGGAGTATATGGCTATTCTAGATTTATTCTAAAGCACCTCTTTCAATCAACTTATCAATATACATATTTATAACTAGATTTGATAATGGAATTTTAGTTAGTACAGTACAGTTAGTTATGAGTTAATCATCTACATTAACAAAAAGCGATTAAATCAAGTCGATTTTTAAGTTTAATGAGAATAGTCTACAGTGTTCTCACCTATCAAAATTAACGTTCTAACAATGTTGATGATTTTACAATAGACAATGCTTGAACTAAACTAGCAATTTATAATTATTTTACAAAAATATTAATTAAAGGCAGAAAATAATACACTGAGTATGTTGAAATATATTTTTTATACTATGGTTTTTATTTTTCTTCTATATAGGACTTCGGCAGTCAATTTGAACTATGTTTGCAACCAGTTTTTGAAGCCAAAGCTAAACGGATGCTAGTAGACTTTTCAATCGCAGATGTAAATATTTCATAATTAAAATAATAAATATGTTTCTCAATACCATTTTTTTAGGAAAACACAGAGTATTTACAACATCTATTCGATGATTTACTCGATATGCTAAAAAGAGTTGGACGCAAAGAATTTTTTAAAAATAATCGAATGATCAGCATGCCAACGAGACAATTGCTTTATCGTTATTTAAAGGAAATACTTAAATATTTGGATGAACAGGTTGTATAGAATATATTATCGTGCTTTGATTTTTTTCTAAAATAAAAATTCTTTAGGATGATGAAAATGATGTACTTGATATATGGGAACAATTGCATCGTCTGGATACACTCAAAATTATTGATCCATATGAATGTAAAGTCGATTGGCAAAATTTTGTGCATAATCCATATTTGATTAAGGAAATCATAGTACTTTTTAAGTATGATATACCTACGGCATGTTTAATTTGGAAACGACATTCTAGTGCTATTTTAAAAAATTTGGATGAAAAAGAATTAGAAAAGTTACTTGATTTCATACCGGCCAACACTGCTGCTTTCAATTTACTACAGTTTTTACTACAGTTTGTTCCGACAGTAGGAAATACCCATCCTTCTGTATTACCAGTTATTACAGAGTGGAGTATACAGAAGACACGTACACTGCAATATTCGAGTCATTGGCCTGAAATTGGTTTAGAATTTATGACAAAAGTTGCTGCCATTTTTGAGAATACATGCTTTTTGCACTCGTATGTTGTCGATCGTAAAAATATATTTTTCAATTTTTATATATTTTTTTTTTTTTGCAGTGATGTAAGACGTCAATTGGATTCAAATATTGCTAAATTAAAAAATTTAGTAAATGTATTGCAAGAGTTATTTGTATTAAAAAATAGTTATAATTTGATTTTTACATTGGACAACTATCTACAGGTAGGTACATAATTGCTATATCCTACATATTATGATGAGCAGAAACAACCAAATGCTGCTCATCGCTTTCATAGGTATTTAACATTTTTAAACATTTGTTGATTTTTTTTAAATTAATCCTAGGAACAACACTTTTCCTTTTTGGCACTGTTGCTATATTGTAATAGCCACAGTGGTATATATTGAGATTGCTAAACCAATGGTATAGGCATACTGCTATAGGTTATACTAGTTACTAGAATTATTATAACCTTTTCAGCTATTGTAGTCACTATAGGCGTACGTGACGAATGCATGGGTGGATGTGGATGGGTATTAGTTGTGTTA